AAACAGTGATAATGTGTGAGTGTGGTGAAAGTGTTGAATGATGATGAAAGTATTTTCTTTTTGGGGATTTTCTTTCTTTTTGGGTCACCCTGCCTCGGTGGGAGACGGCCGACTTGTTGAAAAAAAAAAAATATATATATATACATGTGTGTGTATATATATATATATATATATATATATATATATATATATATATATATATATATATATATATATATATATATATATATGTATTACTATAACACATGTACATACACATAAAAGCACCTAAAGTTAGTATTTGACCAGCTGGGCTGTGGTTTGTACATCAGTTTATGTGCAGCCAACAGTTACATCCTGGTTGATCAGGCCCTAATCCACCATGAGAGCTGGTCACAGACCGAGGCGGGGAGGCATTGACCCCCAAAACCCTTTCCAGGTATAAGTACATACATTTTTTTTTTTAACACATCGACTGTTTCCCACCAACACATAATACATACAGTGATACCCTGAGTTTCCTGTAATTCATTCCAGAAGGCTGATCAAGTGCCATTACCGAACGAACTTGTTCCTATAAGGAATAATGTAAATTAGATTAGTCCATTTCAGACCCCCAAAAATGCACTTAGAAAAGCACTTACGATAATACACTTACATAATTGTTTGAGTTGGGAGCTGTACGAAACTCAGGGTACCACTGTACATACATACATACATATACTTACATATACATACATACATATACATACATACATATACATACATATACATGCATATACATACATACATATACATACATATACATGCATATACATACATATACATACATGCATATACATACATACGTATACATACATACATATACATACATACACATATACATACATACATACATACATATACATATATATATGCAGAACAACCACTGAAAAAATAGTAAAATTCCAAGTGCTTTCATGATTTCTCACATTATCACAAAAGTGCTTGGAATTTCGCTATTTTCTTACAGTGGTTGTTCTGCATATTGTGAAATCACCTGTTTACTGTAATCTTATTGCATATACACACATACACTGTACACTGTGTATGCCAGGCCCATACTGCAGTATGCAGCACCAGTTTGAGACCCACACCTGGTCAAGCACGTCAAAAAATTAGAGAAAGTACAAAGGTTTGCAACAAGGCTAGTTCTGGAGCTCGGGGGGGAATGTCCTACGAAGAAAGGTTAAGGGAAATCAGACTGACGACACTGGAGGACAGGAGGGTCAGGGGAGACATGATAACGTACAAAATAACGCATGGAATAGACAAGGTGGACAGAAACAGAAAGTTTCAGAGAGGGGATACAGAAACAAGGGGTCACAATTGGAAGCTGAAGACTCAGATGAGTCAGAGGGATGTTAGGAAGTATTTCTTCAGTCATAGAGTCGTCAGGAAGTGGAATAGCCTAGGAAGTGATGTAGTGGAGGCAGGAACCATACAAAGCTTTAAGACAAGGTATGACAAAGCTCAGGAAGCAGAGAGAAAGAGAGGACCAAGTAGCAATCAGTGAAGAGATGGGGCCAGGAGCTGAGTCTCAACCCCTGCAACCACAATTAGGTAAGTACATACATCAGTGCCTTGGGTCAAGGCACAGATTTCTGTGCTTTGACCCAAACAAAAACTGGTGGGTGGTGGAAGGACAGAACGAAGGAGAGCGGGGAGGGGAGGGGAGCATGGTAATAAGTTAAGAATATAGGTAAAACTTCAGAAAACACCTGTACCCAAACATTACAAAGGGCTAATGGGCAGTCATTATAGGGGAAGTTTGTTTAAATATTGTATTGTAGTTTATCTGTTGCTTGCTGACCAAATGCATTTTTATATAGGTTCCCTAGCTAGAAATAGAGTATAAAATACCAGAAACAGTATCGACTAATTCACTTATTAAATTGCGCATTGAATATGTTGTTGTCTTAGTCCTCAAATTCCATAAATGAAGAAGATAGTGGAAAGGATGCAGAGAAGGGCAATTTAGCCCATACCAAGTGGAGAGGATGCAGAGAAGGGTAATTAAGCTCATATCAAGTGGAGAGGTGCAGAGAAGGGTAATTAAGCCCATAACAAGTGGATGGGTGCAGAGAAGGGCAGTTAAGTCCATACTATCTATTCAGTAAACCTTAAGAAAAAACTTTAAGCACTTTACCAGTTTCCCTTTAGAAATAAGATGGGAAAATATTCAAACCTTTAAGGTTAAGATAATGAGGAGATTTGATGCTCAAATATAAAGAACTGTTTGAATTACAGAGCAAGTAAAAACCTGAAACATTGGAATGACACGTGTGGCAAAAGATGCATCTTTAATGTGGACGAAGAATTTTGGTCAAACACTCATAGATAGCTAAAATAAATACACTGCCCACTGCAGTTCACATTGCAAAAATAAGTTGTTTAGTAACCAGTTGAATTAACATGTTGTAAATAGGATTAAACTAAATATTGTGAATGGGCTGACTGGCACACAGTCGTAATAATTTCAAAAACCATGTCAGGAAAAATGGTTGACATTTTGAAGCAGCATTATTATTACTACTGTTATTGGGGGCTCTGAAGCTTCCCTTTAGTGTTGCCCCTGCCCAGGGCATCATGGTAGATGCAGAAGTAGTGGTAGTGGTGACAGTAGTAATCCTAGTAGTAGATATCAAATGCTAGTTCAGTCTCGTATTCAATATCTTGGCACATTTTTCTGTATCGTGTAATCATTTCACCTGCTGTTTCAGCTAGGCAGGTTGCCAGAAAGGAGGGAAGGGAGAGAGCCTTTTTGCTGTACTATTCTAATTTTGACTCTGATACAGAATTAGATGTATCTAGTGTCATATGTAACTCTTTCCCATGAGAAATGTAGCTAGTTAGCTAGTTCTCTCATTTTCATTCTCTCTTGACCTCTGTGCCAGACTGAGTTTTCTAGGTAATTGTATTCAATTTCTTCAAATGATGTTTAGGGATGTTGGAAGTCTGTGTGATGTTTCAGTTATGCAATTTCTGCATGCTTTCTAAAAAACAGCTAGAAAATCACGCTTTCTGAAAAACAGCTAGAGAATCATGGATGGTGAATGCATCTCCATTGTATCACAATTAAATGTGTTAAAAATTTTATACTGAAATATAAGGCATATCTTCATGCCGATGAAAGACTCATTTCAAGAAATTAAAGGTGCATTCTCCTTTCTCAGCTCAAATCTGATTACCTTTCATTTCCCTGTCAGTGTAAGACTCCAAAGTTTTAACTCTTTCCCATATACGTAAATACTTTAAGCTTCTCTCTCCTGTGTGTAGGTTATTTGTGTACTTTAATAATTAAATGTTAGTTACATGGACACCCTGCTGTACATGTAGTATAACACCACAACTACTATTAATTATTTAGGCACTGTTACAGTTTTTGGCTGCTTACAATTGTCTTGCATAGTAACATAAGAGTTAACTACCTAGGGTAACCAATAAATAAGTCAAAAATAACTTGTTTCTATTGGGGTCCTTGTAATAGCTATTACCAGCCTACCTGTTACAGTACAAATCAATAATGATTATCAGCAATAAAAACGCAATACATGTCCAGTATACTGAATAGATGAAATTCATTTAAATGAATTAACAATAAAATTAAATACAATTGGAATAAAATAAACTGAGTAAGGCAAATATATGAAAATGAATAGTAAAACAAAAAAATTAGTTGAATAGCCTGGTCACAGACTGGGCTGCAGGGGCATTGACCCCTGGAACCCTGTTTACTATTCAAATAATCATTTTCTGTAGCTTCTTTCATTAGTTGATGTCTGTGCTACTATTCCTCCACTCGTCCTATGACAATAGTTCTTATACAGTACACCTCTTTAGCACTGAGAATATAGACAAAATATATTTTTTACTGTCTCTCGTCAGTATATGTATATGTCACAGCTTAAGTTTAGAGAACAAATTTCTGGAGCTGCACAACACTGAATGGCCCATAAATGCTCAGCATAACTTAGGGGCTTTCTCTGTGGTTTATGTAACATCATCCAATTTTGCACAAATGGTGTATCATGTGGAAATGAATTTTGAATCTGAAATATGAATGGGTTCAGTACTTTGTGAATATAATAATCTGAAGCTGTGAAGATAGTATGTATATATGTATATTACTTGTTTAGCTGCAAGTAGTACTCAAGTCAGTGAACTAAAGGGCAAAAGCCATTACTTAGCAGCTTTAGTGTATGGCTGAAATTAGGTGATTATTCTTCCTTTCAATGCACTGGCTGTATCCTATCAAGGCAGGGTGGCCCAAAAGGAAAAACGAAAATGTTAGTTGATTATGTGCTTTACAAATGGCAGGCTCACTGCTTGAGTGAAGCAGATAGTACAGTACCTATTAACAAATTGGGCATGAAGGAATAGGGTTAAGTTTTTGTATATAGGGAGGGCTCATATCTAGAGTTTACCTGGAGAGGGTTCTGGGGGGTCAATGCCCCCACTCTTGGTCTGTGACCAGGCCTCATGGTGGATCAGGGCCTGATCAACCAGGCTGGTACTGGGAGAAATTGAGTTGGTTACATTAGGAGACATTTGTAAAATATGTAGATATACAGAGTAAGTTTAAAGTAAGTTTGGTTGGTAAAGCATTTTGAGTACTTATGGTACATGCTACAGTGCTAGCATTAATTACTTGAAAATGTAGTACATGTATCTGATGCCTTTCAATTAACAGAAGTTGCAGCAAGTAGTTGTGTAGGTTTAATTCTGCATGTTTATCTGACTATTTTGGTGTTACTTTAGTTTGTTTACCATGCCATTTGCTAACCTAGTTTTTAAGAGTAACATATATTTAGCCAGTTTGATCCAAGATTTCCTCCTTGGCTTGATAAGAATGTATAAAATTTACTCCTTTGGTTTATACTTCAATGAAATTCCTTGTTAAGTATAGTATTTACAAGAAATATGTAGGCAGTAGATGACTAGTTTTGTACATAGTAATAAGTAGTAGCTTTTGCTTGCAGATGAGTTAGAATCCTCTGACGATTCACCCAAGCAAGATGCCTTTGAAGTTGGTAGTGATCTGGAGGAAGAGTATTTTGAAGAATTTCATCTTCCCAACTCTCATGAAAATGCCTTTGTGAGGCACAAAAGTTTTCGACGAAAGGTAAATCTGACACCCATCCATGCTCCTGATGCTGAGAAGATTGAAGGGTTAGTACGAACTGGCGAGTTTCAAAGGCATGGAAGTATGCGAAGGAAAATTGTTCCTGAAGAAACTTCTGTTCTAAAGGAATCTAATATCAGAGGCAGATCAAAGTTAGTTAATCATCATAACTTGGAAGAAATTGATACAAGTAGTTCTTTGTCATCAGATATTAATGGAACCTTTGCAAGAGACCTCAGGGAAATAGAGAATATGTTAAACGACAGTGAAGAAGTGGGAGAAAATATTTCTGACATTGTGGCTGGTGATAATCTTATAAATGAAAAGTTGACTAATGATGCAGTACTTCCAGAGTCACATCAAGGGATTCAGCATGCTAATACATCCACACCAAAATCCAACAGTACCAAGAAGAGCTCTGATTGTGCTTCAATAGACATCAGTTTGAACATGAATGAAGAAACTCCAGGTGATGAAAGCCTGAGCATTGAACAAAGCACACTTATGAAGGTTAGAGAATGTCTGGACTTCACAAAATATAAAGATATATACAACCTTAGTGGGAGACTACAAGACATCCTTACACCTAAGGAAATAGAGGAAGTTTTGAATAATTCTGAGCGTTACAGCAAATATGTTAATAAGGATGTAATAGAGGCCCTTCACAACTCTTTACAGGAGCAGCATAATAATAATAATAATAATAACAGTACTAGCAATACTGATAGTGGAATTTCCTCTCCCAAAAAAATGATCTCTGCAGAAGGGTTGGATTTGGATAACTTTGTAAAGATGGATATCCGGGCTGTATTTGATGACAGTAACCCCAAAATAGTTGATTCTGAAGCTAATATTTCAAAGTCTTCTAATGCATTTATTGATGACGAATTTGAGGACATGGGCTTCAGGTTTGAGAGACGTAGATCACTACGGCTTGGTAAAACAGGGCACAAAGAACTGGAAGTTGAGGGTGTTTTCATTGAAAGCAAATCTCAGGACATTGGCCTTAAAAAGATAAGAGCTCCTACTCTTGACCTAAGTGGTAGCACTAGTGAAGAGTGTGCTGAAGTACCAGATTTATCAAATCCTGACATTACTGATGCATCAGTTGCTAAAGAACAAGATTGTTTAACAGGTTTTGGAAGCAGTAATATTAATAACAAAGTAGTGCCATCTCCATGTGTTCTTGTGCCAGATATTGTAATTACAAACACTTATGAAGACAATAGTAAAGATGAATCTAGTGCATCCATTTTGCTGATTGAAAACAGTGATATTTCTGACAAGACCTCCACACCTGTTACTTTTGGAACTTCTAATAGTAATAAGACTAATTTTACAGAAGGTATGTTTTGTTATATTTTTCATTATTATTTGTGCATAGTGTATTCATTCAAAATATGTGCATCAGATTTTGCATTATGTTATATGCAAAGTCAAATTTCCTTACTTTGCACACTTCAGTTAAATCCAGCTCCATTCGTTAGTTTGTATTGCAGTGTTCATGGCTGTTTCTGTAAATGGAATACATTCAAAATTTGACTCATTTGTGCTATCTCCTAATCATTCCAATGCTTTTTTTTTTTTTTGGCAGTGCTGTATGATAAGTAATAAATATATCATATCCTTTAATCCCAGTATTTTACGAGTTACAATATTCCAATTTAAAAGTGCTTATTTTTGAGTTTTACATTTACTACATAGAATAGTAACCACCGCTTTCACAAAATGTTAGAAGAAATCACCCCACATGCAAATTATATTAGAAATTCACCACCGCTTACAAAAAATGTTAGAAAAAAAGGCGCTGCTTAGTCTGACACTTTGGAAAAAGTACAAATAGGAGACGGCATAATTAAGGGAAAGCCGTAGCAAGTAAAATTTATGTACATATTTTTTAAACATGTTGGCTGTCTCCCACTGAAGCAGGGCAACCCAAAAAAAGAAGAAACACTTTTACCATTATTCACACAATATCACTGTTTGCAGATGTGCCCTAGTATGACAGTTTAGATGTCACTCCAGATAACGAATATCCCAAACCCCTCCTTTAAAGTACAGGCATTGTACAATTACCATCCGACTTAAGCCTGAGCTTGGTTCCGACCAACTGGTTGTAAGGCAAAATGGACGCAAGTCAAACCTTATGCTTTTAGTACTGTATTTTATACTGTAAGGTTTGGGAGAAACAGTGTGTACAACACAAGCAGTTGTTTATTTGCATACAAAACATTAGTATGTATGAAAACATACGAAAACATTCGTATGCATGAACAGAAAACTTAAACTAAGCTGTAAACGGTACAGTCGTAAGTACGAATGGTCATATGTTTAGCAGCTCGTAAGTCAGGTGGTACTTGTACTTCACACCTCTAGGACTCAAGTCCGGCTAACTGGTTTCCCTGAATCCCTTCACAAAATATTACCCTGCTCACACTCCAACAGCTTGTAAGGTCCCACAGACCATTAGTCCCCATTCACTCCTATCTAACACACTCGCACCATAGGCATTATCTGGCTCCTGTTTTTCATTGCTAGTATTGGTAACCCTTTACACCTTTCAGCGTTTCTGCTTTGCATAAATCTTAATTTACAAGTACACTATACAAAAATATAGAAAACATATCTGTGCCTGTAGATCCTCCAGGGCACTAAAACTACTCATAAAATTGAAAGAGTTGAATGTACAATGGCTCTGAATTAGCTATATTTTTTTCATTTATATATTTTGTAATCTTTAGAAAGACCAGTGAATTTGGAGTTTGGTACTCCAAACCATCGAAAACGAATCTCGGTAGCTGATGACATCTTATGTTCCCCTGTTGAAGATGACACCATTTCTGTTGCATCATCATTTAGCCAGAGGAGTAATGGAGAACAAGAGGATGATATTGAGGTATGTTGGTATTTTCTTTTTATGTAAAAACCTTGAAAAGATAATTTATTAGTTTGTGAAATATTGTACTGTATGTAGCAAGGCATTTTTGCTCACAGAACTTCTGCTCACTGGATGTTTTGTGTTTGGTCTGAACAACAACTGAACCTCTTGACTATGTCTGCATGCTTTTAAGCATTGAAATAATGCATATGATTGGCTGATCAGATATTTGCATTAGTCAGACTTGAGTCCTGGAGGTGGGAAGTAGTACAATGCTTGCACTTTAAAGGAGGGGTTTGGGATATTGGCTGTTTGGAGTGACATCTAAACTGTCACGTCTAAGTGCCTCTGCAAAGACAGTGATTATGCATGAATGATGGTGAAAGTGTTGAATGATGATGAAAGTATTTTTTTCGTTTTGGGTTTTTTCTTTCTTTTTGGGTCACTCTGCCTTGGTGGGAAATGGCTGACATGTTGCAAAAAAAAATCATGAGGAGGTGGTGTACCTAATAACAGCCATTTGTCATGTAGGGGGGTAATGATTAGGGGGATATGGGAGTAAGAGGGTATGTATAGGCAGGGGATAGGCAGGCGAAGTGGTAGGAGAGATGATTAGCAGAGGTTGGTAGGTAATGTGAGGTCACTGGTGACTACATCTTCACCTCTCATTACTCTACACTCCACACTACTCACCCTCTCGCTACTTTAACTAAACATAATAAATGGAGAAAATAACGGGGATAGTGAATATTACTATTCTACTGAAACACAGTTTATTATTAAGTCTTTGTACAATAATATATTTGGGAACAGGAGAACATTATTGTGGTTTAGACAAATGGGGTGGTACATACAAGCAGTAAGACAGGGAACACAATCAGCTTGACGAAAATGAATATAACTTACAATATAGTACAGAGGACAGTTCACTACAGGAACTAAGCCACAGGTCCCAAGACCTACACAGCACGAGTACTGCTCCAAGCCAGTACTCTGCCCAATGTCTCCAACAGTCTCTCCTCCCGAGACTCTCCAGCTCAGCTCTGCTCCCAGGCCAGAGCTCTGCTCGAATCTCCTTTGCTCAGCTGTTCCTTGGGCTTATATTGTCCTGAGAGCACCCCCCACAACCACGTGTACGAACTGACACCTAGGTCTGACGCCGTCAAGAACAAAAGACCTTAGACGTGGGCATGGCTGACAGACTTTTGCCAAGGCAAGGTGTGACCATATAATTGGTTAAATTAGGTCTCCCCAGAGACCTCACAAGCCCAGCTGAACTACATCACATACCCCTTTCTCCCCCAATATAAAATATCTGAGAACTAGGACAATTTGTCCTAAGTTATCAGACTATTTTAATCCTAACCCCTTAAATCTATTACAATACAAAGACATTATACATAATACTAAATTATTCCACTATATATAATATATTTCCCTCAGCCTTCTCATCTACCACAAGGCAGTATAATCAGTACACCTCACAGTTGACCAGCATAACAGTTGCTCTCTGGTGCAAAGCCTCCTTACCCGTCATTTCTCCTTAAAACTAAATATCAGGCTCCAGTGCCTTCCCTACTTTTACTAGAAATGCACTAGCAAATGCTAGTCACCCTCGCACGTTAACCATTGGGCCAAACCTCTCTAGGCTTCTATGGCGTGGAAAACTGCTCCAACGGGTTGCATTCTTTCAAGTAACTGCAACTGGACCACTTCACGACCACCAAGGTCGCATTTCGGCACACTTCACATGCACACTACAACATCTGAAAATCGAGACAGGGCAGGCATCGCAGCTAAGACCCTCCATTATCCTATGCCACTAGTAGGATTCACTGGCCTCATAAAACAAGGCGGCCATAATCACCGGACCGTATTCAAGGTCACCTTATTTCACACAGGTAACACTAACACTTCTGGCAAATCAAAGTAGGCTGGGGACAGCTCACACTCTCAATTGTCTCATGGCTGGCAGGACATCCCCGCATACCGGTCGTACAGGTCGACCAGCAAGGCAAGATACACCTCCATACCACCCTTGATAGCAGGCTGGTCCCAGCAGCTGGAGTCCATCTCCGTGGCTCACGTCCTTCCACATCTCCGAGGATGGCAGCTCCATCATAGTAGACTCTCTTATCCTGGTACACCAGCCAGAATCCCTCATACACCACTGCAGCATCACCTCCATCTCCTCTTCTTGAGCTAGGCAGCATCGCAGCATCACAGCACGGCCACAGCATATCCATCATCACAGCACGGCCGTATCACAGCAGCATACAACCCGGCCACAGCATCGCAGCACGGCTACAGCATCTCAGCATCACAGCACGGCCGCAGCATCTCAACATCACAGCACGGCCGCAGCATCTCAACATCATAGCACAGCCGTATCACAGCAGCACACGGCACGGCCACAGCATGGCTACAGCATTGCAGCACGGCCCCAGCATCTCAGTAAACCGCAGCATCATAAGCAGCCGACATCAGCAGCAGCAGGCTATGGTCAGATGCTCGAGGTGAGATGAGGTGGTGAGGTCACTTCAGGTGATTAACAGAGGTGCGGTCACCCATCCCTGGCAACTGCGGGTAACTGCCGGTCCGCGGATGATGGTCACAGAGGCCGGGTGACGCAGACAGACACCCACTACAATGGATGACAGACCAGGCCAGCAATACATCTACTGGGGCACATCAGCTGGGTGACTGGGCACATCAGGTGGATAGCAATCATAGGCAACTCTTCAATGGGTGACAGTTGTGGGCGAGTCTTCCAAGGCGGGCTGGGTGACTTCTCATTCCTCTGTAAATATTCAATTTTGGCCAGTAATTGCTTCCCCCAAAAGTCTCACCCAAATACTGATATTCTCCACCATTTATCTCAAACCAACAACCAACTCTACCAAATATAATATTACACCCAAACAATTACTCAGACCTACATTCAAAAAAAACAAGGTCAGTTAAGGTCACTAGGATTATAATATCACACTGATATTTACTTTAACTTTACACACACAAGAAAAAAAAAGTGGTAGCAAATGGTAGCATAACAAGTATTACCGAGCAGTCAAAAATAAGGCACAAGGGACTGGTTCCTACTATAAAAATAATAAGAACCACCACCGCTTAGACACCATGTCATGTAGGGGGGTAATGATTAGGGAGATATGGGAGTAAGAGGGTATGTATAGGCAGGGGATAGGCAGGCGAAGTGGTAGGAGAGATGATTAGCAGAGGTTGGTAGGTAATGTGAGGTCACTGGTGACTACATCTTCACCTCTCATTACTCTACACTCCACACTACTCACCCTCTCACTACTTTAACTAAGCATAATAAATGCAGAAAATAACGGGGATAGTGAATATTACTATTCTACTCAAACACAGTTTATTATTAAGTCTTTGTACAATAATATATTTGGGAACAGGAGAACATTATTGTGGTTTAGACAAATGGGGTGATACATATAAGCAGTAAGACAGGGAACACAATCAACTTAACGAAAATGAATATAACTTACAATATAGTACAGAGGACAGTTCACTACAGGAACTAAGCCACAGGTCCCAAGACCTACACAGCACGAGTACTGCTCCAAGCCAGTACTCTGCCCAATGTCTCCAACAGTCTCTCCTCCCGAGACTCTCCAGCTCAGCTCTGCTCCCAGGCCAGAGCTCTGCTCGAATCTCCTTTGCTCAGCTGTTCCTTGGGCTTATATTGTCCTGAGAGCACCCCCCACAACCACGTGTACAACCTGACGCCTAGGTCTGACGCCGTCAAGAACAAAAGACCTCAGACGTGGGCATGGCTGACAGACGTTTGCCAAGGCAAGGTGTGACCATATAATTGGTTAAATTAGGTCTCCCCAGAGACCTCACAAGCCCAGCTGAACTACATCACACATTGAGTGTATAAAAGTGACTCTCATGGGTTGGGGGTAAATTAAACAAACCAAGGTATGGGTGGGGATTGAACTCATGGGAAGAAAGTCATAAAACTCCAGGACAGCGCATAAGCCACTGGGCCAGCAGGCTAGGTATATTTGTACACCATAGGGTGTATAATATACACCCTGTGGAGTATAAACTAGGTATATTTACACAACCTATGGTGTATAAATACAGTAGGACCCCCGTATCCACGGGGGATACGTTCCAAGGACGTGCCGTAGATCCTGAAAACGCGGAGAGTAGCAAACTCTATATATACACATCCTATACATACTTATTACAAAGTTTAATTGATAAATTATGTACAATAAGTGGAGAATAATCACTTTTTCACTGATAGGAAGCACTTCACAGGTTCTCTTAGACTTTGAAGAACTGCTAGATTTTTTACTTTTGTGCTTTGGGGTCATTATTATGCAAAATTAAGAGGTATTTTTGAGCCGCAGTAAACCATGGATAACTGAAACCGCAGATACTGAATTGGCAGATATGGGGGCTTCTACTGTATACCTAATTGGATGAATCTTATTATAGCCAGCTGGCCCAATGGCTTACATGCTGGCCTGGAGTTCAAGACACTTGCTGTGAGTTCAGTCCCCACCCATACCATGGTTTGTTTGCAGTTGTGTCATTACAATTTCGTGAGTCATGATGGGGTAAGTTACTAGACAGTATTTCAAACCCTTACATAAAATTAGAATTTTCATACATATTGGAACAGAAATGTCTAGCTCTTATAGTATTTGAGAGCAGTTCTTTTCAACTTAAACATTTAAGCAAGAGTCTTGGCAATTTACAGACTTAACCCTTTGACTGTTTTGGTCGTATATATACATCTTACAAGCCATCGTTTTTGACGTATATATACTCAAATTCTAGCGGCTTCAAATCAAGCATGAGAAAGCTGGTAGGCCAACATGTGAGAGAATGGTCTGTGTGGTCAGTGTGCACCATATAAAAAAAATCCTGCAGTACGCAGTGCATAATGAAAAAAAAACTCCTACCTTTTTTTTTAATTAAAATGCTGACTTTGTGGTCTATTTTCGTATAGTATTTATGGTTGTATT